TCTCCGACTCAGACGAAGCGATAATCTCTCGTTCGGTATTTTCTTTGCGGACACGTTCAGAAATACCATTACTAACAATGAGCGTGGATTATCAGCGGCGCGCCATCGCGTCCTCGCTCTGCAATAAGTATCGCACGAGAAGCACAGACGAGGGTGGGACGGGGGGTGAGAGGTCAGCGAGGGTGTGCTATTCATGTTCAAGCGAAAAATGCACAGTATGTTGGAAAATATGACTTCCCCGCCGGTGCGTAATGTAACGAAAGTGCGGGGGTGTCTCGCCGTCGTGCTTCGTATGAAAGCTGATAATTCCATCGTGCGCTCCATCGCGGAATATGATTATGAGAGCGAGCGCCTCTCTCGTGCTCAAAATAGATGCACCACGTCAATTTGTGTGCCTGTACACATTGCGTGCCCGCGCGGTGAATTTGGCCCGGCGAATCTTTCCCCTTTCTAATTTCGCCGGATTTCCATTCTTGCCGCTATCGCTGTCGTTTGCGAATATCGAATAGATCCAAGAAGATTGCAAAATGAAAGCTTTTGTAAACGTATCCCGCGCGAAGAGAAGTCCCGTGTAATCTTCGATTCCTCTAGACGCACCCCCCTCCAGACGCAATTTTACACCCTGTGCGATTCTGGTATTACGAGAAAATCCGAAGCGGCCCTTATAGGGTTCTTATCGATCAGCAGGCTCGCGTTATCTCCGCTATTTCCCTGACCTCCTCGCACGATCGTGTCTTCGCAATTTACAACGTACCCTCGGACAGATTTCATTGTATCTATAGAGCGTCGCGCGGAAAATTTCGTTTATCAACCGAGACCTGCTTATCGTAACGCAATTTCGTCCACTGGCAAAATCCCGCGTGATGGAGACTTAAAATTACAAAAGAGGACGAGAAAGTTTCTTAAAGCTTTTGATATTAAAATTTCATTCTAGCGAATAATATATCGTTTCGAATTTGATTTTCCTTTTTTTTTTAATAATAATCGACTTGAAATGTCGCGTGACAGGTTAAACAGGTTTATATATCTTGTTAACTTCTGAGAAAAATAATTTCTGACGTTATTACGACGGCTTTCACATCCTTCCCTATATTTGAAAAAGTAGATTTCCGAGAAAAGGAAAAGTTTGCGACAACTTGCAAATTAATCAATCATGAAGCGATTCAGTTCTGTAATGGCTGAAAAATTTCTACGTTCTGTGAAAGTTGTTCTGCGATAACTTTTCGAATCTTTCCTCGTATATACGCGTGTCCGTGCGTCGTGTGTGTAAGTACGTGGGGTTGATGCACACATCTTATCGCCACGCACGTCACGTATGGTATCCTCCTTCTCGCAGTTCACCCTAGGTGACTTCGTTCGCGCTTTCTACCCCTTAGACAATACCGGCCGGTCGATCAAAGCTTTACGAACAGGGAAATTAATCTGTCGTACATTTCAGAAAGTCCAGGGGGAAATAATAGTGGCTAAAGAACACCGAAAATGAAAAAGTCTGTTCTATAATTTTTGTAAAAGAAATAATGTGTAAAATCTATCGAAGAGATTTAAATAAAAATATAAGGTAAAAATTCCATGAAGAAATAAGAGAAGCAAAATGTACGAATTAAATAATTACAAATTGTACGACGTGTAAAAACCATATGTTGCAGATAAATATTTGCCGTAAAATCGCTGCGGAAATTCTAAAATGTTACGAATCAACAGTTATTTATTTATCACGTGATTGCGATCGCGTTCGTAATTCGCGAGAAATATTTGTAGATATAAATAGTTGTCAACCGGGCAGGGTTGTTATCTAACATTTTCAATCCATAAATTAATTTTCCGATAAACTTCTATTTGCCGTATCAGCATGATAAAAATATAGGCGCCGCCGCTCGTAAACGCAAGTGAAAAGCAATCGATCGAGGATGGAGCAATGACACCGTGTGGATGCCGTCTGCATCTACCCGCGACTTCGCCCCGTGCAAAACTTCCCCCCAGGTCGCCAACAGCGTGAGATAAACCTTAAAAGCGAGGGTTGCGATTACGTCCCTTACGGATTGACTTAATCTTCTCAAACGCTCACGATTACCTTTCTTGCGGGACTCGTTTAATCACTTTTAATCCTCAGGGATGTCTATCGAAGAAGTCACGCATTTGAGACGGCAATAAGTAGCCTCGTAGTTTCGAGAATTCTCCAGCGAACGGTATCGCGAAACACGATATTCTAGATACAGAAATTATATTAATTCTTGATTATGATAATTATCTCACATTCGTAAAAGTAACGAGGGGGATTTTGGATTGAGACTGGAAAATTTTCATCGAAAAGACTAGCTCCAATTAAGGCCCAAGTTTATGCTGTTGATTAGAGCCCATGAGATTAATTACGGACTCAAGATGAAATACCGGAGATCAATTTACGGCGGTGTATTAAGGCCGGCAGCGTGAAACGTGACCTTTACGAGAGAAAATTGAGGACTTCTGCATGAAATAATGCACGATTTATATTGTGTTTCACATTTCATTCTGTAACATGTGGTTTTTCAACGATTAACGTATAATTTTCTTTGCTAACTCGTACGGTTCGTTTGTTTTGATTTTAGGTGATACTTGTCAAATGGAATGAACCTTACCAAAAATTGGCCTCGTGCGACAGTTCGGGTGTTATTTTTGTTTGGATCAAATACGACGGACGATGGAGTATAGAATTAATCAATGATAGAAACACACCTGTTACGCACTTCTCCTGGTCCCACGACGGCCGCATGGCTCTTATATGTTATAGGGTGAGTTGTGGTAATTATTTGAGTTTATTACCGAGCAATAACAGTGATTTCCCTTCAGACACGAGTTTCAGTCACCGAGTTCCAATATCACGATACAATGGAAAAAAAAAAAAAGAATAATTCGTTTCCATTTTAATTAGAAAATTGAAACAAAAAAAAATAAAATAAAATATAAAAAAATATAGCTGTGTGATTCTCCGAAACATTTATTTATTTATTTTATCGATGTGAGCAATTCAGCACAAAAGCGCATTCTATTCAATGCGACGGGATGTGCTTTAGACACTTTAGAGCTTTATGTATTTATTTACGACCCTCGTCATAAACGCGGCTCACACGTTTTCTGCGGAGGACCGTTTGCGGGAAATACGATGTTTTATTGCAGGACGGCTTCGTATTGGTCGGCAGCGTTGCTGGTCAAAGGTATTGGTCGTCAATGCTCAACGACAAAGCGACGATAACTTGTGGCATTTGGACTCCGGACGATCAGCAGGTTTGGAAAAAAAAAATCCTGTTTTGATAAAACATTTTTCGTGGTTTCCATTTATCATAAAATTGCTACGTAAACGGCGTATACAAAATGGCGTAGGAGAGGCATAAAACGATATTCGCCAATTTTTTTAACAATTAGAAATTTGATTACATTTGAATTTGTTAACAAACATCGCCATTTCGGAAATTGATAACGTGAATTGATAACGTGATAAAAATAATGAGTCGTGCATCGCGTGTGAAATGTGATACGCTAATGTACTTGCTTAATAGAAGCATTCTTGGCGGCATCGCGGCGCAATGTTCGATCATCGATTGACGGTGTACTTAGTACGAGTTAAAAGCTTTCCCTTTGTTGTCAATGGAGATGTTGTCTGCGACCGATAGAACCGATAGGAAAGAAATCAAATGACATTATTCACCTCCGACGTTGTCCTGTGACAAAAGGTCTATTTCGGGACGACTGCGGGCCAGTTAATCGTGATGGACGTTCACGGGGCTATGGTGTCGGAGGTACAATTAGCGGCCGGGGTTACATCGATGGCCTGGAGCGCCGAAAAGTTTACGATGGAGGAGGACGAGACGTGCGATCGATCTCAGAAAGGTATTAATCGCAGCTTTCAAGGTCAATTTGAAGGGATAATTCGAGCTCGAAGCGAACCGCACGATGCACGATGCACGTTAATGCATTTATAATGTATGTATGTATGTGTGTGTGTGTGTGTAAGCGCAGATGACCGAAATTACGTGCTGGCCGTTTGCCTCGCCGACGGCAATGTCGTCATGTTACGATCGTTCGATGACGTGTCGCCGATTACGATACGCAGCAATCTGAAGCCGCCCTTGCACGCCGAGTGGAGCAATTCCAGAAAACTGTTGGCCATCGCCGGCACGCGGGAGGGCTCGGCCGAGCAGAGCGGTTCGCAAGAGTACACGAATCTTCTCAAGTTTTACTCGGTCAACGGCACTCTCGTATACACGACGGAGATTCCATACACGCAGGTACGTCCACGTGGAGAAGGGGGAATGCCGAAACTGTATCTCCTCGATGTTCGTTCTATAATTTATTTTACGATCATTTTTTTCATGATTCACGCCTAGTGTCCCGTATCGGCGTTGACGTGGGGGCACAACGACCGGAGGCTCTTCGTCGCGACCGGAGCGCGCGTCCACGCCGCGTGGGTCTCCAGGTGATTTCTTATTTTGTGACGTAATCGGGTTTACGATTGCGATAGCGCGATCGAAAATTCACGACTACAATTCTTGTAACGAGAGAGACGTAACGCACGCAACGCAAAGTGATTTGTTTGATTTGTTCTTTGCAGAAGGGTCGGTTCGCTTCAGCTGTTATCGAGATTGGCGGTGAGAGCGGCTCTCACGAGGGAAACCAGTGTTCAACATCTTCCATTACCGCCGCGACTGAGAGCTTCGGTGGCCGCCCTCTTCGCGAACACAATACGGTAAAAAGAAATTTATAATCAAAATTTTTCTATAATGGAATATTATCGTTCACCGTCAACCGGAAATCGAGAACGAAGGCACCCGGAGATATTTTTCAGATGCTCGGTACCGGAACCAAGAGAATTACGACGCTTCGTGTCAAGGCCGCCGCCGGGAGGCAGCCGGTTGCACTGCACCATGCTCCGACACGCCGTAGAACCTGTGCCATGTTACACGCTGTATCTGGAGTACCTGGGCGGTCTCGTGCCACTTCTGAAGGGCAGACGGACCAGCAAGATTCGGCCCGAATTCGTGATATTCGATCCGCAGAGTCAAGAAACTCTGCAGGTGTTCGACGACATGTCGCAGTGCCCGTCGTACAGCGACGGCTCGGACACCGAAAAGGACACCGCGGATTTGTGCGGATCGCCCCGTTACAGGAAGAAGAACAGGAAAAGAAGGGAGGAGAGGCCCAACGACGAAACGACGGAACGAGAGGAAAAGCCGAACGATCTTTCGTACGTGGACACCCTGCCAGAGGTAACGCGATCTCTCCGTCTCGTTAGCGATTATATTTATGGCGACTCGTATAAAACGCTGTATTTTATTCTCGTATATGTAACAACCGCAACAACGTACGTCTTTGACGTAATGAATCGCATGCCGCCGGCGGACTTTGACGAGTTTGTATCAAAAGGGGGTAGCTGTACGCTACTTGCGTGACGAACGGATTCGCGGTTGTGTGCGTAATAGTGGATATTTCTACGGAGCGTATCTGTTCGCAGCACGCGAGGCTCGTCGAGGTAACGTCGAACATCTGGGGCACGAAATTCAAGTTTCACGGCTTGGCAGATTCGATTCCCGCTAACCTAGGTCAGGTAACATATCGAACGTCTTTGCTGCACCTGCAACCCAGACAAATGACGCTCGTGATGACGGAGCTCCGGGACGATTTGCCTTCGGGTAATTTTGTTCGACATTTAATTCAGCCGTGCGCGTGACTACAATTTCTCTTTTGCTTAATGACGCTTAATGATTTTTTTCGTACAGGTCCAGATCCGACGTTCAATCCCAATTTGTTTTCCGAGGACGAGGAGGAGTCGTACCAGGAAACAAGTTCGCGAGTTACCCCGGAGACGCAACCGCCGCCGATCGCGCCGATGACTCCTCGTAACGCTCGACTGAACCATCCGAATCGACCAAAGTCTCAAATTTCGAATCAGTTCTTGACGTCGGAGACCCTTCCGACGTCGCTGGGGAAAATCGAGAGCTACGAAAATGAGTACGTTCCATACGTGGATCTGCAAGATATGGGTAATCTGTACGAGAACATCAGAAACGCGCCTACGAACACCTATCGAACGCCGCCGAGACACAATCCACCGAGATGCTGCGATGTGCCGGCCTTACAGTCGCCGAAAAACGCGGTGGCGCCCACGCAAACGTTAATTGCGACCTCGAACGCGGGTGCCGACTATGCCAGCAGCATTCAGAGGATGAAAAACGTCCTGGCGGATCAACAAGCGGGCATGGCGACGAAGAAGGAACTGGAGAACAACAAGCTCAATCAAATCTCGCAGGACGACAAACTGACGTCGACGGCCTGCGCGACAAACATCATCCCCCTATCCATGCAGAACGGTCAGGCCTTGAACGCGGAGGCGACGAGCAGTCGATACATCTCTCAATATCACTCGGTTTTAAATGGTCTGGAGAACATCGATTGCACTCCGGCGCAAACCGTATATTTGAATGGTCTAAATAACATGGGATGCGCGAGCAACGTCTTGACCGCGCCACATCCTGCCAGCGGCGTCCAAACTACAATGTCGCAGAGCGCTCATAATTTTGTACATAGTAAGAATAATCAAAATACCGAGGCGAGTACCACGGCAAGCACCACGACGACGCCTTCAAATAGCTCCCAACTCGGGCAAGCTTCCAGTCTAGTCCTTAATAAAAACGGCGTACACGGGATAATCTCGCCGGCATGTTCCTATCAGTTCCCGGAGAATATCGATCAGTGCTTTGGATCGACGTGTTCGCAGTGTTTCTCAAAACCACACAAAGACCCCAAGTGCCACGTGTGCTACGGAAAAACGAATCCCGGCTACGTGAACGCCGGGACTCCCACGAAGCTCGACGAGGACTTGATGCGATTCAGCGACGACGAATGCCGCGACGATATTGAGACGTCAGAACAGTCGCGGGGCGTTCACAGGACCTCAACGGTCATCAGTATCGGTCCGATGTGTGCGAACGATTCGATAGTTCGAAGCTGCAGCGTCGGATATCTGGATCTGGTGGACGCCCAGTTAGTCCCGTGCGACGTAGCCTTGCGAATGCTGCGCAGAGACGCGCCGAACAAGAGGCTGGTGTTGGTGTCGCGGAAAACGAAACGGCGGAAAAAGACGAAGCCTCAGCACGACGTGGGCCAGCCGAGCTCGAAGCCGCCCCGACTCCGCAACTGCGGCAAGTCCAAGAGTCTCGACTCCAGCGATATATTTCCGAGTAACGAGCAGATATCATCTCCGCCGCAACTGCCGGAACACGTGGAGGAGGTCGCCGGATTAACCAATTCCGAAGTTACGGATGATACGGCGAAACGCAACGAATCGACAGAATCGAAGGACGAAACGCGCGACATTGCCGATAAGCAGGACGAAAGTAAGGAACAGGTTGCTCGCGAAGTTCACATTAAAGAAAAGCCGGGTCGATTAGAAGCCACTGCGTCTCCCGTCAAGTGAGTAATCAATTCGAGAATCGTTACATTAACAAGAGAAAAAAGAAACTGTCTTTCCAAGTAAAAGATTAATTATATTTATTAGAGGATCGAGTCCGAGTGGATCTTTCGCTTCCTCGCTCGATGGTCTCGCTGCGAGACTTCGAGATTTCGACGACAGTCACTCATTGCCACCTCCTTCACCTCGACCATCATCGAGGTAAGGAATATTATATTTAATATCGATTATACGCACAGGCGGTAATATCTTTCTATTTTCACAGATTGCCGAGAAGTTCACCTAGCAGTCCAGCACCATCTAAGAAAGGCAAAAGACCGGCCTCGGCCTCCCCGATTCGAAGAAGGCTCTTGTCGAGTCCGTTGCTGAACAGAAGAATGAGAAAAAGTCGCGGCGAGAGTTCGGACGAGGAGGGGCTGCTCCAAGACGATTCCTCGTCGACAGCGAGTTACCGGGACTTAGAAACGTTCCAGAAAGCCCAGTTACGTCAGAAGGTCTGTACCGCGTCTCCCACCCTTCCATCCGGAAATTCAATGAAGAGGAACACACGTTCAATAAACATATTCAATAAAACCTTTCCTTATAAATACTCAAGAAGCGCGTGAAAATGAATGGTGGATTGTTTGCAGCTCAAGCAAAGAGGAATGGGAATTTCTGGTTCCAAACCGGAAGCGATAAGGCGCGATGCACAATTGATAATGCATAACAAAGCGCCCATGTGGAACGAGTCCAGTCAAGTGTATCAGCTCGATTTCGGCGGTAGAGTGACTCAAGAGAGCGCCAAGAACTTTCAGATTGAATTCAGGGGCAGACAGGTAAGCTGAGATATACCTCTTTTCACGTTTGTCCCGCAATGTAAATTGCATGTGTGAAATATCGATAAATTTTAGGTGATGCAATTTGGAAGAATAGATGGCAACGCGTATACGCTGGATTTTCAGTATCCATTCAGCGCTTTGCAGGCATTCGCCGTTGCCTTGGCGAATGTTACGCAACGGCTTAAGTAAGCTGTCACTTTTCCAACACATCTAACTTATGGTGAAAAATGATGGGGAAGCTGCAAGATACCTGCGTTTAAAAATTTGCGTTTTTTTTAAGAGTCAAACAAGAATCGAGAAGGTTCGATTCTTAATGAGCCCGGGAGGAAAATTCGTAAGACTTTCGATTGTCAGGCTCGCAAGGCTTCGTTCGTCAATCGTTCGTGAATTGTTCATGGAAATGTAACTTTTTTTTTTTAATAACAATGACTGATCGACTCGCATAATTTTTAATTGCGTATCGATCCTATCGCGCCGGGAAAGAAATTCGTGTAGCCAAAAATCTCTCTGGCGTTTGCCGAGAGATGGGCGAATCGATGTGCAATGACCTAATGAGATAAATATATACTGATTCGCGAGTGCAGTTGCGAGCGATTTGAATTTGAGTGGGACACAAAGATTTTGCGGCAGCTATGTAACGTTTTCGTTGAACGCTTCTTCGTCGTACCGTCCAAATTTCGTTTCTCCCAACTTCGAGCGCTCATTTTGTATAGTTTATGCGACACGTTGGAGTCTAGTGACGCTGTTAAAGAGTTCACCTCGTTCATTTTTGCGGTCCGCCGGGTGTGTATTCGAATTTTATATACATATACTATATATTGACAGACTCGCACGTGCGGGCGACAGTTTCATGTTGTTCAATTAAATGTTTCTTAACGCGTATGGTGAAGATAACGATAATAATGCTAACGATAATGATAATGATAATGATAATGATAATAATAATAATAATAATAACGATAATAAGATAGTAACGTAACATTTGACGTCCGGCCTGTAATGTGGTCTTCGCCATTAATGATAGCAGGACAGACTAATCCTAAGGAGAGAGATCGAAAGGTCACAGAGCGAAAGTATGCACGTGCACGTGCGGTTGTGTATATGAGATAAACGTCGTCTATGATAGTTAATCCGAGTCGCATGATCACCGTGGTGCTCACTTCGTCGGTTCGATATTGCGAACTCGATGCCAGGCCTATTAGGAGACACAGAGTGCTGTTATCAGGCTCTGAGGTGATAGCGGGGCGGCCAAACAAACGTAAGATTCTGCAGACGATATGTAGTTTCAGACCATTCCGAACTTACTTTTCCTCCGTTGCTATAAATACAAATTATTCAAAAAGTAAAATCGATCGCCATATGAATTTTAAAATCATCGCAATTTGGTTCGTGCATTACCAGTAGTCCTTTCTCTATTATAGCTAAAGACTTTTATGAATGAAGATATAAATATATAGATATACAGACAGATATAATATACATATTTTGATTTTACTTTATACACATAAAATACAAAACGTATTATTGTTATAATTCCTATGCTGCGAACATAGAAGTCTCATTACTGAATCATCAGTTGCATCTTACACCGAGACTGCGTTCCGTTTGAGCGCTCAGCCATCGTAAGCATCTGTTCTACCTTCCTTCGGCATGTATAATAAATAATAAAGATTAGAACGAAATTTATAACGCGCGTGAGCGTTCAAATGCAGCCTGAGTCGATGTATTTTTGAATTTTATGTTACATTTGCATCTTTGCATTCGTGACGCCCCACTCTCACGCGAGCGATCTATCGATGACAGCCTTTCGTAGAATCGTTTTCGTCAGTAATTCGCAACTAATCGTCGAAGTACAGAACGGTAGGTCGTACGAACAATCTGTTTTTTTCTAGTCCCCCTTACTATTATCCACCTCCTCACTTCGTAAATCGCAGCGAGCGCGAATCGCGAACTCGTGCAGGTGATTTGTATTCGACCGAATTCGTTCGAGATATCGGCTATTAGAAACGAGAATGAGATTTTCCGAAATCGCGCGATTTTCTCGATTAAACGCAGCGCCGGGGTCGATCCAGCGACGAGTTCACGAATTCATCGTGTAAAAGGATAGAACGAGGATTTTTGTATTCCAACACTGTGAAGAATTTCTTTCTTTCATTCGCGAGCGCGTAAAGTATTTTCGCTGAAGAAGATTTATCTTCCGATCAGAATTTTAAATACGAAATGACGCAACGCAGGTACAAAGGTATATTCTTTCTGCAGAGCAGAGAAAAATAAAGAAGTGATTTTGCAACGCCGAGGGACAAAAGTTAACGTACGCGCGCGCGACTGGAAGATGATTCTTTCGGTATTTTATTCTCGCGCTATATCTCAGTATCTCATCCTGCTGTTCAATCAAACGTATCTCATTTGCAAAAATGTTGCAAATGCCCTACGGCTCAGCCGAGCAAAGCGGATTTGAGTCACGCGAACGTAACGTTTATGTCGTAGGCGAGGCCTCTCTAGTATCGGTAGCTCCTCGAATTTGCATGAGTGACGGTTTTATGCGATTCGGAGCAATATTGAGCCAAGAATCGTAGAATGCGAATTATCGCGTGTTTGTGATTATTCGAACATGTAGTCGCATGAAAATGTCGCGTGTCGCTTAAATTCGAAACTCATTATGTAAGCATGGACGTATCCAGGATTTTTTTTGAAAGGAGTTTTTATCAATTCTGTTAACGCATAAACAGAAATTTTTTGCGTTAATGAATTGCTCTTTTGGATATTTTAAAGCTTAAAATGTATCCTTGTTCTTAAGTTTAAATGAGAAAAATTATTGGGTTTTATAAGTATAACTCCTTAACGTTTTTTCTTTTAATTTCAAGGAAAGTTTGAATCCCCTAAATCTTGAATCCTTTTCCCTCCGGATACGTCCATGATAAAGGTAGATTCAAACGGAACCGAACGAGGACGAACGAGGCAATATTTATGACGAGCATGAGCGTAAATGGAGAACTTTCTTTTGATATCCCGACGAGAGTACTCGTAAATTCGGGCTGCTTTGTACTTGCAAAATGCGTCTCACGCTCATCAAAAATGCGTCCTAAATCCGTTCATTTCCTCGCCTCGGCTCGGATCCGCCTTAACGAGAACGTTTCTCTAGTCAAATAATCGACGTTGTGATTGTCCGCGTCCACAAAGCGAGACGAGAACACGCATTGATCCCTTTTGTAAAGTCCCGAGGGACTTTAGCGCATCGTAGAATCGCGCGGCGCCTTCAACGCCGGTAAATAGAGTGCCTACATTTGCATTTGACGCGAAATCGCCGCTATTTAACAGCGTGGTGATTAACGCCCGAGTTCCAGCGACGCGCGAACGACGATGACTCGACGATGACTCGAGAACTCGAGGGGGAACCTCCCGTCTCGAGGACGAAGAGGACTGTTCGTCACTTCCGCGTGTATATTCTACATTTAGGCCGCGTCGCGTTTCTCCGAGCGGGGGATTCCCAACAATAAAAAAAGGGAGGAAGACCGAGATTTGCGCGAAAAACGGAAATTCAGTCCCATTTGTTTCGCCCCGTCATCGACATATAGTATACTGGAGCACGCGGCAAAATTATTTCCTTGATCTTTCATCCTGACGAATTCAGAAAAAATAAATATATGCGATTTCCTTATTTATTATTTTCTTGAGCCGGTTGAATTTTGTCTAGCGAGAAGAGAAATAATAACAATTTATACAAATCGAAGACAATTTCCGTTCAATTTTCCAATGCGTAACGATAATAACGTATAAATAAATCGTCGTGAAGTTGATACTATTATATATGTAATAAATAATTGTGGAATCTATTTTATTACGTAAAACAAGTACGTCGAAGGCAAGTATCTTGTCAGATATCTTGATCTGACATGCGGCGGCAGTCGCTCCTACCCACGCATGTCATCGTCTTGTCCCCTTTGTATATCTGTCAAGACAGTTCTGATTCGATGCTCCAGTACTAAATGCCAATGATTTCACCCATTCTCTGCAGGGCAGACACTTAACACATGACTGAGCTCCAAACTGTTCGGCCTAGCTCCTCCAGCTGATCCAGATACGTTGAGCCCCGCCCACTCCTTCGTTTCCACGTTCGATGCTTGTTTTCTCACCTTGTCGGTGTAGTGTTAAAAATTGTGCTTGCTTAAAAAGGAAAAACGGAGAAAGAACGCTGTCATGTAAATTTAACGACTGAGTATATCATAAGGAGATTCCACACACGCCGTGTCCGATCGGGACGGGTTTTTCTCGTACGAGCGATACACATATTGTTAATTCAGTTTTTTGCCTTAGCGCTAACGATAATTCTGTATATGTGCAATGTAATTTTGTTACCGAGTACATTAAACGATTATCGACTCTTTGTAAATAAAGAAAAAAA